GGGGGGGGGGGGAAGGGGGAGGACGTTGCGTCACGCAGGAAAGAAGAGCGACACGGCAGAAGCAGAACGGTGACGCTGAGGACGAATCGAACAATGTAAAAATGGCAGTCAGCTGAGCCAAACGCCCGATCAGCTGGCCAGCTGCAATACTCGATGCGTCAAGCAATGTCATCTCAGAGTCACGGGAGTCACGGGAGTCACGCAAGCTATCAAAGACAAAAAATGATGGAAAAGTGATGAGCAATCGTCCCCCACTCGGGACTAGAATAATCCAATAAATGTTTAACTGCCGTGCAGCGAGAAACGATCGTCTAACCTATGCCACTTGAAAAAATGACATTTGCCCTTTGGCCAAATTCAAACAGGTTTTTTTTTGTTAATCAATGATTCGGGCCAGCGTATTTGCATGTAGGAGCGTTTGCGCCTGAACGCGGTTGCCAGTCAGTGGAATATTTTCGGTCCAGTCCCGTAAGACGTTATGTAAATCTCTTGGCTCTCTCTCTCTCTCTCTCTCTCTCTCTCTCTTCCTCGTTCCGTCATCTTGCCCACAATTCCTTTCGGCCTTATCCTAGCTCGGCTATAAAAACCTCCCGTACGTCGGGCAAAAGTTAATCATTCGAAACTGATGCGTGTCGTTGAACTTCGAAAGCAACGAACTGTTTATTCGATTTTTTCTTACCTTTCCAATCTTCATTTGTCTAACGTTAAAAACTAGTCTGAGAGGAGGAAGGAAAAGCACAATTTTTCTTCGAGAGAGTTTCCGAGTGTCAGCTACAAATTTAGAGCTCTTCGAGCGCTCTGACCTTCTCTGAGGTGATCACTGACCTAATCCCGAATACTCTATGCGTCGAGAAGACGGTTCGAGCATCGTATAATAGTAACAGGCATTTTTATACGTTAGAGAGTCATTTAGGACATATTAACTTTTGAAGATTCAAAAATGAATCATAATGAAAATAGTATAAAAAAAAGTTTACCTTCCGGGTCACAAGTCATTAAGATTCCCTGCATGGAAATCAATATATCTAACATTTACATATACTAACCGAACGGACACTGATTTTGAACCTCTGTCTCCCGGGCTACAGGGCAAATCACCAAAATTTAGCGTAGCTCGTACCTGAGTTATAATTAAAGACATAACGTATAAATTTTATCCTGAAATAAACGTTATCCTGAAATTCATTAATAGCAAAAGCACAAATATTGCGGATTCCTTTAATATTCGGGGCATCGCAGAAGGAATCGTCCGGTACAGCCGTTCGCTCCCGCACCTTTTGTCCTTAAGGACGCTGTGGCCACCCAACAAGTCCCTACGATTAATATCTGAACCTGCTATGTCAATTTACAAGATTCCACAAATAATTGGCCCGTTCAACGTTTTCTTAACTATAAGGTATTTCTGTCTCGATCGGAATCGACTCATCGTTCGAGTCGCGATCTAATTCCTCGAGTTGAACGCAAGAGGAAATTTTTGAAATTGCAGCACGCGAGGGAGAAAGTACTACGGGCTGTGCGTTAAATTGGTGATTTAGTCGCGCCGAAACGAGATGAGACAACGATCGAGAATTAGCGAAGAACGTCAAGGGGGGAGAGAGAAACGGGATGCGACACGAATGGTAATGCGTTGTTGGCGTTCACTATTACCAACTCGTCACTCGAGGAGGTTTGCATTGTCATAATCAGGGACGTTTCAAGTACAATCATTCTATTGGTTATTTTTAGCTGGAAATGGGTCGTACGTAGGGCTCAGGAGCGTAAGGGAGCATTGTACAGCGCGCAGACAGTTTAACACGCTCACCAGGCACTTTGTCCTTATGGGTTTCATTAGCGAACCAGCAGCAAACCTAAAGTATCAGTTGTCCACGTATTCTTATCGTATGCGCTCATAGAGACGCAAGGGCAACTGAAAAACCGATCAATATTAATACGGAATCCCATTAGAGAGGATTGCGATGCTACCAACCAGCTACTAATTGCTTCTTTCTGCATCGGGCAATTATTCGAACAATTCCTAATGAAGCTGGGATTGAATGAGATAAAAAAAAAGTGTCGTTTGCGCAATCGACCGCTTACGTCTTGTCTCGTTAGTCATAACTCTCTTACATTCTGAGTTACAGGGAAAGGAGAGGCGAGGAGAGACGAGGGCTCTCTCTCTCTCTCTCCCTCGCTACCGCCGGAAGTTTCTGGGCCTCGTGTGCTTCGTCCGGGCTTATTCAAGCGAAACGCATCAACTGCCTGCAATTAACCGACCCATTGATTTGATTTCAATCGCAGAACCAACTCGGCTGCTGCTGCCTTCTTACTGAATATTCCTCTTTT